CCCCCCTCGGGTGTCCCCAACCTGCTCCAGCTGCAGCTGGGTGATGCCCTGGGCCAGGAGGTCTCCCAGCGTGATCTCCACGTAGGGATAGCTGGATCCGGCCGTCGGCCGCTGCGTCCGCGTGGACTGGATCTCGTTCAGCGAGAACTTGGCGATGGGTTCCTGGTGGGAACAGGGGGAGTGGCCCTGTGAACCCCACCAAGGGGAGCGGGGACCTCAGGTTGGACAGGACTTGGAGCAACTGGTCTAGTAGGAGATGCCCCTGGAACTGGATGAGTTTTAAGGTTCCTTCCAAACCAAACCATTCCATGATCCCATGTGTCCCATACAGCCCCCCACCTACGTGGGTCTCCTTGCTGAGGAAGTTGAGGCCGTTCTGGTTGACGGCCAGGATGCAGGGCGAGACGATGGCGTTGTTGCTGCAGCTCTGGATGTAGAAGAAGGATGAGCCAAACATGGGGTAGGCACTCAGCAGCCCTGCGGGGTGGAGGACGGGGTCTCAGTGCCCACTGCCACCCACTCCTGCCAGGTCCCCAGGGTGGACTGCACCCACAAGGGCTCTGCCAAGGGCTCGGCCAGCTCCATGCCAGCTCCAGGAGCTGATTTGGTTCCTGGAGCCTTGCACTGCTTCAGGCTCTGGACCCGGGAGCAGCTAAGGGAAACTGGGGCCTGGGAGCAGCCTGTCCTGTTCTGCCAATGCATCCTGCCCTCCATGTGCAGCACCTCAGGCTCCACACAGGGAGCTCCCTGTCCCAGGGTCCCTGCAGAGGAGCCACCCAGCAGAATTCCATCCCCATCATCATCACCCTCCAGGCAGGATGATGCTTCCCATACCCATCACCTTCTGGGCAACTCCCATCCCCAACAGCCTTGTATCTCCAGCAGGACTGTGTCTCAAGAAGCACTGCATCCTCATTAGCACTGTGTCCTCATTAGCATTGCATCCCCTCAGCATCCTCTCCCTATCCGTGTCACCTCCCTGTCCCCATCCCTGTCCCCTCACCCAGGAACTGTGCCCTGGCCTGGTGGGCGCTGAGGGCCTTGGCTTGCTGGACGTGCTGGGTCACCATCTGCAGCCAGGACTGGGGCTTCAGCAGGCAGAAGAGCTGTGGGGGGACGTAGTCCTGCATCTCCCGCCTGCGGGGAGCCCGAGGTCAGGGCCAGCGCTGGCCAGTGGGTCCCAAACCCCACGGGATGTGTGTTTTTTCCCCCCTGGCCGTACGCAGTAGGGAGGTGGTGGTGGTCCTTGGCTCGGTGCTGGAGGGCAGCCAGCTTGGCCACGTGTGGGAAGTGCTGCTCTCCTGGCCTCGCGGGTGGCAGGACGGTGAACAGCCCCTTGAGGTAGTCAGGGAGCACCTGGTGGGGAGAAACAGGGCACAGGGACACGGCTTGGGGACAGGGCACGCTCTGGGGGGGACAGGGAGGTTGCCCTGGGGGAGGCTGATGGGGTGGCCTGACCTGGTTGTAGTGGACAGTGACGTAGAGCTCGTTGTCGAACTTGAGGGGCTGGCTCCAGACCACGCGGCGGCACCAGAAGGTGTAGCTGGTGTCCCGGCACTCCGTCTCGGCAGCCACATCCAGGACGTATTCCCGGCGGGTCAGTGGCCGCACACTCTGCCCTGTGCCACCCGGGAGCCTGAGCGTGGCCACCACACCACGAGCACAGCCATCCCATCCTGTCCCATCCTGTTCCCGCCAGCCCCTCACCTCTGTCAGTCACCACGAAGAGGATGTACTCCTCCAAAGCCTCTGGATGCTGCAGCCCCATCTCGCAGCACAGCTCCTCGATCACATCCAGAGCCACCTGGGCACAGGGACAGGTGGCTGGGGTGCTGCCACGTCCCCCTGTTGTGCTCCAGGCCACCAACATGTCCTGCATTGGGGCTCATCCCATGCGGCTGCCCAGGGAAGGGGTCCGCCTTTCCCAGTGAACAAAGTCCCACAGCGGGAACAGGCGAGGAGCGCAGCCCCCTCACATCTGCACCCTCTGAGGGGCTCACCACAGTCCTGGGGTGCATGGAGCCACCTGCCCCTCTGACTCACCGAGCACGTCTTGATCTTGAGGTGCCTCTCGATGCCACCGGGCAGGAGGAAGAGCTGGCGCTTGGCGCTGCGTCCGGCCTGCATGGGAGGACTCATGAGGGTGCATGGGGACCCTTTGCACAGCAAGACCCCAGAGGACACTCCAGCTATCCCACAGGACCATCCCTTTGGGATCATCCTATCTCTTGCCCATCCTGCCTGTGTGAGCCATCACACCTCCAGCTCCATGTCCACAGAGCTGCATCCCCACTGGGGACTCCTGCAAGCTCAGGGCACCCCCAGAGCAGTGAAGAGCAGCCCCCAAAAAGGACTGTGCTCTTTTGGGAAGATCCCAAAAAGGATCAGCTCAGTTCCAGACCAGTGTCTGGGCAAGATCCCAAGCCCACGGAGGGATCCCGAGACCATGCAGGTATGAGGAACTTCTAGGGGGCACCTCAAGTTGATACCAGCCCTGCCCCACATTCCACGGGCACCCACAAGCCCCCAGCCTCACCACCATGGCCTTGAGCTCCATGCTGCTGGGGAAGAGGCTGCGGCCGCCGAATTGCAGGGTTTTCCGCAGGTTCTGCTCGCAGGCTTTGGCGATGCCTGGCAGGAACAGGGACTGGGATGAAGGATGGGGCTGAGCCACCACTCCTGAGCCCTGTGACATCCCAGGGTGTCCTTCCCCACCACAGACCAGCACCCTGGGGCGTGCACAGCCCCTACCGTGGAAGGGCAGCTCCGGGTGCCTGCTAGCGTCCTGCAGGAAGGCCAGGAGAAAGGGCCGGAGCACCTCGGAGCACTTGTAGTAGGCAGCGAGGATGTAGAGCAGCCTCCAGCCCTTCTGGCAGCTGTCCCTGTGGGAGGAGCCAGGGCTAAACCACTGAGCAGGGCGAGGGTGCCGACGGTGGCACCCATCACCCTGGGGATGGGGTCCCCGGGTCTCCCCCCATGCTGTGGCAGCTCAGCCCAGCCAGGGACACAAGTGTCCCCAGTTCCAGCCTCTGCTGTCCCAGCTGGGTGTAGGGACTCACGTCTTGGAGCTGGTGTTGTTGGTGATCTGCTTGATGATCTGGCAATACACCTCGTCCCGCAGGACCTCGTGCTCCGCGCAGAGCTGGGGACAGGCATAGCTGCCACCCCCTGCCCAGGCCACCCCTGCCCAGGCCACCCCCAGGACTCACTGCCCCGGTGGTGGATTTACCTTGAGGATGGTGCAGACAGCATCCAGCTCTGTCTGCCCCCGCAGAGGGTGGTCACCCATGAACTTCATCACAGCTGGGGATAACAAAGCCACACAGTGACACAGCTCAGTGCATCCCCTTCCCAGGGACACACTCCCCTGGGTGGGCACGTTCCAAGCATATGGGGCAGTGGGACCAGAGGACCTAAGTCCCACAGGCCACTCCATCTACCCATCCTGGTCCTGCCCCCACAGCCCTCAAAGGATGGGCTGGGAATGGCCGGGGGACAGAGGGACGCGATGCTCATGTCCCTGCCTACCTTGGAAAGCCTCAGCAGCCTGTTTGTTGATGCCACCATCCACAAATTCGATAAGTGACTCCTGAATGGGGATCTGGAGTGGGGGGAGAGGGTCAGATCCCGGGAGCAGCCAGAGGGATGCTGGAGTGCCATTCAGGGAGCTCCCCCTGGGATCTTGGTGGGATCTGCAGGTGACAGCAGGGCAGGGGCACCCCAGGCTCCCCACTTCCCTGTACCTTGGTGAACGTCAGCATCTCCAGCACACTGGGCACATCGCTCCTGGCCTTTGTCCCACAGGAATCCCTGGGACAGAATTCAAGGGAGCAGGTGGGCACAGGTGTCCCCACCACGGCGTGTCCCTGTCCCACCGCTGGACACTCACATGGTCCCATGTCGTGCCGCACGGAAATGCCGCTGGGCAAAGGCCAGCATGGGGCAGGTCCCTGTGACATCCCTGAGCTGCTCGACACCGTCTCCCTCCAGACCCTCCGCAAAGGTGGCACTGGCCGGGGACACCTGCGGAGCAGGGCAGTGGGCACCGGGCACAGCCAACACCGTGTGGCAGCCCCAGCCCAGAACCCACCTCGGTTTTCCGGTCCAGCTCCTGGGCAGCAG